TAGGACTCTAAGAAGGCATTGGAATCCTCTTTCTCACTCCTATTTATACCACTTTCCATGCCAAGCATTACTGTTATTTTCATTTTTATATTCACTACTTCTCCAAGATATCTCATAAAGTTCCAGTTATATTATCTTCCTTTTATCACTGTAAATCAGATCAAACATTTTCAATGGTTTAATGCTGAGAAGAGAATCTCAGTAGTGGGTCTGTAAGGATGGTCAGAGGAGAAATTGATAATGAAAGGTGGGCATTACAGACCTCCTGATTCAGAAATAAAGTCATAGGAGAATTAAATATTTTCTTTCAGGAAAAAAATTACTTCTAAACCTCAAGAGTAATGGTCCTATGGGGCATCAGTTGGCAGTGGGTATCCTATTGCAGCAGAAATATAAATTTCCCTTTGTAGGATGATAAACAGAATGAAATTAGGAGGGGAGATACTGTAGTAATCTGATCCTAAGAGGGACCTCAGGTCGGGGATAAGATAGGTGATGCTGTCTTGCAGTGAGGCACTGGAAACAAGAGACAGTAAGTCTGAGACACAGAGACAAACACCCTTCAAGTTAGGCTGGAGTTGTGGTAAACAGTATCTTCAGGCCATGTAGCAGAAGCTTCAGTAGGTGTTGTGTGAATGCTTTTGGTAGGCACACTGTCTCCTACTTTGCTTGTTCTTTATTTCAGTTCTTGCAAAAGCATAGATAAAATATGATGCTTTAGGTTTATCCAGAACTTTTGCCTCAATGCTATAGAAATTTCAGTACAAAGTTTGAAAAGGCCCTGGGAAATATGGGTGTCCTTGCTCTGACTGTCTTATCTGGAGCTCACTTAGCTAAACGGCTCCCAACAGAGGCTTTTCTTAAGTATAACTCATTACACAGCCATCTAGAAGGAAAGCAGGAAACAACATGAGAGGAAGAGTAGAATTCCTTCATTCTGCTTCATGGACCTGCTTTCTGATTCTACAAAGAAAGAGTTGTTCATCCCTAAGGCCTTTGTTTCATAGCCTTATTCAAGAAGAACAGTTGTCCTTACTTTGACTCTGTTCTCCCTGTGACTACATAGGAGGTCACATGGAGTGACCAACTGGGTCACCAACCAAAAGGTTGGTGGGGTAGCTCAGTGGCAGCTCATTTGCACAATACCCTGGCTTCACCCCCCAGAATCACAAGTACAAATAAATAAAATAACATTCTCTGTAGATTGCAAATCTGTATCCTTTCATGTCTTAAATATATTATTTTCATTATTAACAACCTAAAACATCCTTGCATGCTATTATCTCCTTAAATATCACTTTGTTGGAATGTTCCTCATGACTTATTACCTATATATATGTATATGTATATGTTTATATATTTTATTGACATGTGTATTTTCAAATGATTTGATGATTTGCTTTCTCTCAGATTCCAAAAGAACCAAGAGGGATGCCCCCCTCAAATAACAGCAAGTTCCACCCCTCCTCTTTCCTCCTGCTGGGGATTCCAGGCCTTGAAGAGATGCACGTTTGGATTGGGCTTCCTTTTTTCTCTGTGTATTCGATTGCTCTTGTGGGAAACATCACTATCTTGTTTGTTATCAAGACAGAACAAAGTCTCCATCAGCCCATGTTTTACTTTCTGGCTATGTTGGGCTCCATTGATCTGGGCTTGTCTACATCCACTATTCCCAAAATGCTGGGAATATTTTGGTTTAATTTAAAGGAGATTAGCTTTGGGGGTTGTGTAACCCAGATGTTCTTTATTCATATATTCACTGCGATGGAGACTGTTGTGTTGGTTGCTATGGCCTTCGATCGCTACATTGCCATCTGCAACCCTTTGCAATACAGTCTAATTCTCACTAACAGAACTATCGGGCTCATCCTTCTGGTGGTCTTTGGGGTCAACTTCATTTTGGTCATCCCTCTGGTGTTTCTAATCTTGAGGCTACCTTTCTGTGGACACCGTATAATCCCACACACTTATTGCGAGCACATGGGAATTGCCCGGCTGGCCTGTGCCAACATCAAGGTAAATATGATATTTGGACTAATTCTTATATCAATGGTGCTGATAGATGTGGTTCTAATTGTCATCTCCTATGTGAGAATACTCCGAGCTGTCTTCTGCCTGCCTTCTCGAGAGGCCAAACTCAAGGCCCTCAATACATGTGGCTCCCACATCTGTGTCATTCTAGTCTTCTTCATTCCAGCCTTTTTCTCCTTCATGACCCACAGATTTGGAAGAAATGTCCCTGGGTACATTCACATTCTCCTTGCCAATCTGTATGTTGTTGTTCCTCCTGCCCTGAATCCTGTCATTTATGGAGTGAGAACTAAGCAAATTCGGGAGCGGGTCATAAGTATCTTTGGGAAAACAAATTGATATGAAATCCTCAGAACTATGCATTGTAATCCAAGTTCAGAATCTTGTAGTAGAAATGACTTTGACTTTAGATTTATTACATTCATAATTCCCCTACACTTAATGCAGAATATATCATGTGATTAATGTCCAATAACTGGAAATTTTTAGAATCTCTAAGGCTTGATTTAAAGTATTTCATTAGGACTACTCTTCTGCTTAATGTCAGTGGAACAGGTAAGGACCCTGTGGAATGAAATGTTGCTTTTCTTTTGCAAATACTTAACTCTTGGCTACATTATAATATATATTCCTCTACATCAAAGACTATAGGCTTTTAATACCTTGCAATAGACTTTTTTCTTAATTGCTTGTTTTGATCAATAGCTCTCATTAATATTTTATTATATATAACAAAACAATAGATTCTGGAAACATAAAAATAAAAAGATACATGATATTTTAAGAGTTTTTCATGAAGAAGAATGTGATGAATTTTTCCTATAACTCTTAAGGAATCTTTCCATTCTGATTGCATCTGTGGAGTTCTCCCCACATGTGATCTGCTTTTCCAAGTGAGATGCGTATATGCAACTCTGTTATATGGACAATGCAGATAGATACAGATACAACTATGTAAAGAGAAGTGAAGCAAAGGAGAAAGGATGATAGGAGAGGAGGAGGGAAAAATGACTTCATAGAAGTCTCAATGTGACAGGGAACTTAAATGCTCAGGAATGGTCATCTCTGAATGAGTCCCCTAAGTTATTTCTCAAAGATCAAATCTAGTGTTCCAAAAAGGTAATTACCTTCAGATTCATAAACTTTACCTATGCATTCATTCCTCATGTACTATGCATCTTTTATATACAGTTCCTTTTAAGCTTTGGTTTCTTGTTTGTGGCTTTCTTTCTTGTTTGGGCCTTAGTATCCCACTCTTTTTCTACATTTTGGTCAACATTATATATTTGATTAGTGCATATGTTCTTTTATCCTGTTACTTACATAGCTACTTAAAATAGATTTTTTTGTTTGTTTTAAAAACTTCAAGTCTGCCATGGCTGTGAAGATCAAGACCCATGAGGGGAAGATGATGTCAGAAACCTCTGATGTCTTGCCCAAGTGATTGGGCTATTGCAGCCTCTCCTAGTCTGCAACCCTCTTCTGGCTGCCCCAGAGCCTATGGAAGACAGCCATGCAAGGGAGGATTGGGAACAAGAGACCCACCTGAGCCTCAGCCTTAGCCCTTAGCCTACCCTTTAAGGGAAATCTACTGCCTGGGATACCCCTTTTTGTCCATACCATCCACCAAAATCCAATTCAATTGTGTTTTCCAAAATAAAGCCAGTTTTTGCCACCTGAAAGGAAAAAAAAACAGCACTTCAGATACAATCTAATATAGTAAAGCAAAACAACCTTATAGACGCAACTTTTCAGATTTTTTACAAAGGTGTAAACAATACCAAGTCCAAGATTTTCTTTGAAGTTTCCTAAATCTCCTTCCAGGGATGGAGACTAGCTACCCATACTTAACCTGCAGAAACTCCATCCCTGTTCTCCACTTTATTTTTTTTAATTAATTTATTTATTTGTATGTGTATGTGTGTGGCCAGCTCAGCCCACCAGGGGGTGGGGTGGCTGGCATGTGGTGCTGGGGGACTGAACCGCGGTCCCTGTGCTTTGCTAAGCTTGTTCTAAGTAGGTGCTTTAGACCACTGAGCCATCTTACCAGTGTCTGTTATCCACTTTAGCATTCTCCCCTCTAAAATTCCTCAGTGCTCTGTTTACATTCATCTAGATGATCAGATACTCCGTGGAGCTCCAGGAGTTCATGGCCTATTGGCTGATACTGGTTCCAGGGTAGCAGTATGGAGGTCAGACTCCTCATAATGGGTGATGGAGTATTTATTTCATGTACTATCTAGAAATGGATTGCCAAGACAGTACTGTCATGTTGGTTTTGAGTGACCAAATTACTTATATGTGAAACACCTTATCAAGAGTATTTGTCAAAGGATGTCAATACTTTATGGATAGTCCTGAACCTTTACCAAAATATGTGGTACTGCTGACAATGCAGAATAGGTCTTTATGCCCTTAGTCAATAACTCCTAGAGCTCAATTTTTTTCAGATACCATAACTATAGATAATTTGTGAATTTTGTACTAATTATGTTGCAAAGTATGTAGACTTTAAGATATCTTTGTCCTCTCAAAATGTGCTTCCAAGATTTATTTTCATGAGTGTATATAATTTTAATTTGTTACTTTTCATTGTTGTACAGTATTTTTGTACACATATACTAAATTTAATTATCTATTCTGGATTGATTGTTGGATTTTGTCTAATTTTTTACTATTGTAAATAAATCTATTATACATATCTTAGGACATGTTGTATTATAGATATTTATGTACATATTGTTTGTAGACATTCACAATCAATTCTAGCTTCTAAGACCATGATTGCCAGGTGATAAGAAGATACAATTTTAGCCTGAGAGGAAAGTGCCAAATAGTTTTCTGAAATGGTATACTAAAGCTCAGGATGTATCTCAGTAATAAAAGACCTGTATCAGGCTCTGAGCTTAATCCTAAACATACAAACAATAAAAAATAAGGATAAATTCTTTTACAAATTCACCCAATATGTACAAGAATTGTAATTGCTGTACATCCTTACCAACATCATTGGTTTTGGGGGAATTATGTGACAGGTGTGTTCACTGGTGTCATTATACTGGGCATTAATACTATCACCTGTGGGCTTGGTGCATTTCCCTAATTACTAACAAAGTGTAAACTGTGGCTACTGATCACTTGAATGTCCTCGTTGTGGAAAACCATTTAAAATCTGTGCCCATTTCTTTAAAATTGCATTATCCATCTTTTTGCTTATGAGATTACAAGTCATTTATAGTCTGTGTGAGTCCTTTCTCAGGTATTTATCCTAAATATAGTCTCCAATGGCATGGATCACTTTAGCAGTAATTTAACAGGGAATTAAAATTTTCAAGAAATTCACCTCTTCACTTTCAATGATATATAATAAACATTTCTTTTTTTAAATGTATTTGGTAGAGGGTCTTACTACACAGCTCGGACCCATAGTGATTCCGTTTTCAGCCTCCCCAGCATGGGGATTACAGGCATGTGTCACCATGCCCAGTCTCCAAGTGAGCAGGCTCATCAGGCCCAGGGATGGGGCAGGCATGGCTAATTAACATTTTCAATTAATTTTAGTGCTCTTTGTGTCCTGTTAAAAAAATCTTTGCCTCACCCAGTGGTGGATGGTACTGTTATACTACCTTCAATATTTTGTATTATTTTAACTTTACATTTCAGCCTATATTCCATCAAGAATTGATGTTTTATGTGGTATTTCTCTATAAATTTCTCAGTTGATTTATATCCACCTAATTTAGAAGTCCTTCATTTCCACATTGCACATTGTTTAATACTAGTATTAGGCAAATCAGATAACAGTATATTGTGGATCTGTTTCTAGACTCAGTCAGACTTACTTTGTATCCATGTTTCAATACCACATTAGTTATTACAATTCCATTACAATGACATATTGGTATTCAGAATAGCCTAATCGCTGTATGTAGAAGATTAGACCCAAAAAGATGAAGATTCCAGCTCCCGAGATGCACCACAGCTAAGCAGATCAATCAGAAGAGCAAAACAAAGTGTTCAGCAGAAAGCAGCTGAACAACTTTGTGGATTATTATTGGTCTGCACTGTCACCTCCTGTAGGTCCCTGGAGGAAGAATAAGAAAAAGAACACTGGGAAAAAGCAAAGAATCAGCATAGGTTCAAACGTCTAAATGTGTTATCGAAAGTCCTGAAGTTTTAGGTCTTCAAGGCAAAAACAGCCCCCAGTTCTATTCCATAATTGAAACCTGAAGATTTGGCAGAAACTTCATTCTTCTTCCACTGATACACAAAGATTTTACTTGCAATTTACATGGCATGGTACAGCAGTGACTTTACACTCTACCTTATTGTTTTACCAAAGTTAACTGCATCCAATATTCACCTCTGATAAATATTCATGGGGCAATACAGAAACACTAAATTCATTTGCCAGGTCAGACCAGAATTGAACCCTACCACCCATGAAATATTTAATGAGAATTCTCAAATGTCTCCTAGCTACTTACATTGGAATCCATGATACAAACTGTCCCTGACCTCCTTTATCATTTTCAAATTGAATCACAAGTTATGTAGACAAGCACTCAGCTGTCCATCCACCCATTCAGCCATTAAGGGTCTGTTTTAATTGTGCCAAGACATGTTGCCCTACCACTGTGATTTCTGTGCTATAGACTGATCCTCTGTGAGGTGCTGAATTCCCTGTATTCTGTGACTTTCAAATGTTCCCTCTATGACATGAAATTACTTCCTTGATACTAGGTGACAAAAACACTGGACACTGGGCAAAATTAACAATATTCCACATATGGATAAAATGTAATAGTAAGTAGCTATTAAAGAATGGCTAAATATGCTTAAAAATAGCTGAATTAAATAAACAAAACTCACTAGAGCAAGGGCTGGTCTCTCTGAAAGGGAACCAGAGAAACTTAAGTCAGTGGGATAAGGGAGAATTTTTAGTAAAGATATTTGGTGAACATTTTACAGCAGTCACATAATCATTATTTTAAAAAATTAACATGAATATCTTAAAATACTAAATAATTATTTCTATTTTAGGCCATTGAATAGGACAAGTTCAGTTTTTATTTCTTTCCAACAGTTTTATGTTGCTTTAGACAAGAACACAAAAATAAATCAATGACCAAAGATGTGTGGTAAAGCCTAATTTCCAGGCCCAATATGAAAGGAAAATAAGATTATATTAAGGAACTAAAACACAGCTTGTCAACATGTTTCTCCAAATATATAAAAAGGTAATGCTTTAATAACTAAATAGAAATTTTTGAGAAATATTCAGGAGAAAAATTTTACTTAAATATTTATCAGATTAAAATACTTAACACATATAAACA